TTCTCGTTTTGGGACCTTTTACTCTTTGGAAACAAATGTTTAACAAAATAAAAAAAAAAATCAACAATTTGAAGTATTTTGGAATGGTCCACAAAATGCCAGGAGATTCTGTTTTCAGCATGTCGGATTCAAAATGCAAAAGGTAAATTATTAAAAGATGGCATTTTCATCATGTAAAGGGTATTCATTTAGACTTTAGAAATTAAAACATATTGATTTTTGTCAGGAATCCTAACTGATAGGTTAACAGCTAAACAATATTTTCTAGTTGAAACCCAATCTGATTTCTTTAGGGGTGAAAAACAGTTTGAAGGTCAGCATCCAACAAAACAAAAAACAGCACAATGGTCCTTTAACACGAGGCTCAAACCTATCACACGTAAGGCCGATCGATAAAGCTTACTACCTAAAAAAAAAAAAAAAATACTGTTAAGACTATTGTTTTCTACAACTGCCTAACCAGGAAGTAAATGATCTTTTGTAGTGCTCGCTAACTGCCTGGTGTCTCTACGCGCTCTAGACTCCAAACTTACTTGGTATAGAAAGAGATGAAAGTCATGAAACTACTACAAACATTCTCAGCTATCGGGGTTAGCAAAGGGCTGCTCTCTACGCTGCACAGAAACCTATGAAAAAGCCTGCTTTAAATACTGTTAACATGTTTCATTTGTAAAAACTAACACTTATAAAGTTAATGACTTTGATACAATCATCAGTTTAAAATCTCTAGTGTAAAAATGTACAACTTCATAGGCTGGCAGGTGTTTTGTGTGTTTTCAACACTTGTGGCACGGTTTTCTTCCCGGTCGAGCAGGTTGACGCTCCTAACCTGACGGGACACAACCTGCTTTGTTTAACGCTAACCAATGTGTGACTCCAGTTCCTCAAGAGTTGGGACACTGTGTAAAACATAAAAAGTGTCTGAAATATAAAGATAAACAGGTGCATCTTGGCAAATTAAACTAGGGCATTATGTTGATTCATTACATACAGGGAGACATATAAGTGATTATTGGAGGTAATTTTAAGTTTGACTCTAGCCCAGTTTTTCCTTCCACTGAACTTTCCATGTTTGAATACAGGTGGCTTAATCTTATGAGTTTTTCTTGTGATTTTGTATGACATACCAAAACATTCCTGTATTTAAAAATCTTTTTTTTTTTTTGTCTTTTTGAACAACAGTAGTTATGATTGACTAACGTAAGACAAATAAATGCCAGGAATATAACAGTCACTGTGTAATGAATCCATAAAAGCTTTCGCTTTCAAAAATTACCGTAATGATTGCTGAGATGCACCTGGATTCACGAAAAACTGTAAACATAAAAGTGAAAATTAAGAAATCAAAAAACCTCATGAGGGAAAAAAGAAATATGGTGGCATCTGAAAAAAAAGGACATAAAGAAAAGATTGCAGAGGTAAGAGGTTTTAAACACTAAGCTGCTGGAGGAGCATTTTGCAGCTGCTAAGATTTGTTGTCAGTAGATCAGGAATAAAATTGGGTATAAAAAGAAAAAAGGTGGAAACATGTTCCCCAATGCAGAACTGGGAAGACGGAAGATCGTATCATCCATCATTCGTCAAATAATTAGAAGATTAAAAACTGTCTTCTGGTCTCAAAATATAAATGTAAAAAAATGTTTATAAATTTAAAAGGGAGGTTCACTCCATTGTGAGTAAAATATGGGTTTCTAACATATTTTATGCAGTTTTTATTTACATTTTTACACAAAGTCCCAACCTTCTTGAACTGGTGTCTCAGCTCTGCAGCAGCCCCTGTTGGCACAAGGAAGCATTCTTCTGTTGTTCCTGACATCTTCATTTGTAACGTGACAAAACATAAAATGCTTAAAGTTAGACAGCAAACTTTAACCTGTGACTGATGTTTGAGGTGTGGTTCGGTTTGGTTTGGGTGTTTCCACTTCTTTAATAAACAAGATTACTTTCCTGTTTTGGTTCAAAATGAATCCAAAAGTGAGTACAAACTTTATTTTTCAAATTTTGGTACTAATGTATTGTTGCATTTGGATAATCTTTAGTTGACAACATTGTGTTTGCAAATCATGTGATCAAAATATGAATATTTAATATTTAAATCCCATCTGTTCAATCGATTCTCCGTCAGAAAAATCCTCAGCATCGCTTTGCTTGACCTTAGCATCATTCAGGTAGAGCATAGTGTTTTTTAAAAGCTTTCAAGAGGTCATTTCATTAAAAGCGAATATTCTCCTTCTAAAACAATCCTAAAATCACGCTGCGTTTGGAGTTTGAAGACAGGATCTGGGATGGCGTCACGTCCGAGTTCAATGCATTCCAATAACAGTCCGTATTGTTATTGAAAAACAGTTTTAACTGTGGATCGTAAGGAGAATCTCCACCTACTTACTTGTAGTTTTTTTTTTTATAGTTTCTTGTTTGTTTCAGAAATGATTATAATTTCAAAGCCAAAGTCTGTCAGATTCTCAAATAATGAAAACAAAACTTGAATAAAAAATAAAACTAATTTGCTTCTAATTTCTGTAATTTGTTACTTATGGTTTCACACCTGCATGGCAGCTATGTTACAACCAATTAAAACCTTTCAAAATAAAAGTCTAACAAATGTACACTAATAGATGAGCAACAAACAACGTCTGTGCAATAATTAAAGAAATGTACAGTTTTCTCTATACGGAGTGCTGTAAAAGACAATAATTATGTTTGTTGATTCATAGTTTTTGTTCATCATATTGAAATAAGATACATCTACTTAACCAAAAACAAAAAGTGAAGAGTTAACCAAAACGTGAAATAACAGTATATTAACATTTAATTTAAAAAGAGAACAAAAAGTATGTGGTTGTATAAATACTGCTCCAATATTTCTCCTTATCTGTTAGTGTTTGACACACAGACTTAGTGTGACGATTTAGTTTTTATGACAATTTTAAAAAAGCCACATTGGTGATACAGAATAGGTAAAATACATATTAGATTAATCTGAAAATATATTAACTTTACCATAAATCATTTGCAGGTGTAAAACTCATGATAAGCTACTTACATGTTCTTTTTGTCTTTTTCAGTTGTTTCGACAACTGGAGCTCTTAAATAATAAACAGAAAACCACAAGAAGTTCATAAGTTGGTGCAGATTTTGTGTTCCTCTTTTTAATGCAATAGCGAACCAACAGTTGTCGCTGGTTAACTGAGGTTTTGATTTCTTTAGTGGGATTTTTATGAATAAAGAAAACTGTTATTACCAAACCAAACACACTTCATTCTCCTTCAGAGGCACAGAGTGGACAGAGCGTGAGCTTCACCAACTCAACCACAACCAAAGATCAGCCGCAGCGACGCTCTGGATGCAGCAGCCTGGAGAGGACGGCATGCTGCGGCTTTAAACCGTTACGTCGCTTTACACAGGGCTGCTACACGTTTCCACTTTTATATGTTACTTACATTTCTGCAGGTATTTTTTAACATATCCTGGGAATTTTAGTGCAAAACTCTTGTCTAAATGCATTTTATTGTCTTCTTTTCCACATTTCAAGAAACATCTTGAAAGAAACATCTTTTCACTTGTGGAGTAGAAAAAAGCTTTTTGCCTCTAGACAAACTGAGAGCAAATTCTACAATTTAATATTCATATTCCTTCAGTCCTGACGATTAAACAAAGAAAACAACACATTTTCTTATTTTTGAATCTGAACGCTTTAATAAATGTCAGCTGTGCTTGTTTTATTTTCCATTGAGGAGCAAAAACACTGAAAACTTCTGTAACATTTCTGGTTTAAATATGTAATAAATCACTTTAACGGCTGAATTAATCTTTCAGAGATGCTAAGGGTGTAATATAAGTAATTTAAAGCTGCAGCAGGAAGTTCTGAGAAAAACTCAATAAGTTCAGTTTTTCTGCAAATGGTGCTATATACATGAGCATGTCCGACAGCGCTAAGACCCTCCTCCTGGTTCTGATTGGTTGTTTCTGAAGGGGAATGGTGCTTTTCTGGAAGCGGCAGTCAGAGCTAATTTCACAAATTGTGTCATTTTCTTCTGTCAGGACATTTTTAACAACTTTGTAAAAAGAGTATTTTTTATAAGACTTATCTATAACTGCCATGTTTCTGCCAGAACATATTTGAGGTTTATTTTCTTGAAGAGTAAATGAAAACTAGCTTGATTCCTGGAAAAGTATAGACAAAATGCACCTAAAATACATGGCTGCCTGATGCATTTACAGAATAAAAAATGGTGAGTGTTCCTAATTTTGATGCATTTAACAAAGAGGAAAAACATTTTTTTTTTGCACTATTTAATCTTCTAATTAAGGGAGAACTACCCATTTATAACCTCTTGGAGACTTAAAGGTGCATTTTTGTTCCAAACTCAATTTTCCTTTTCAAAGCTTATCTTAAAATCTATTTATTTCAAGCCTGGGTAGGAACCCTGTGTACCTCGATGTAAGGAGACCCAGAGTTTTCTTTGTATGAACTCAGATTTATAGCAAATTGTACTTTCTTTTAATGGTGAGAAGGTTTACACGATGGTTTTAATTTTCGTTAAAACAACAGAAACCTTCAACTTGTAGCTTTAGAAGCTGCTGGAGAGCCAGGATCGTTCATGCTCGTCCATAAGATGTTAAGTTTGTGGCCTGCTCTGCCTACTGAGAGCTGTAGTCCAATGTCCTGTACAGGTTTTTTTTTTTGTGTGTGATCAGTAGGCCTACAGTGGGTGAAGCCCTTTGTGTGACTAAATAGGAGAGCAGAACGGTAAAGACGGTAAAGTGCTACTGCGGACTGGAGGCACCCTGATTAAAAAATGCTTTTCTTCAGCACAAAAACACACACGAGACCAGCAAACATACAATGAGGAACGGTACAGAAATTAAAACATAAACAATTTAAAATATACGGTAGAAAATAGAATAAAGCTCAAACTAAGTATACATTGGTGTCTTTTCAACAGGTGAGACTGGGGTTCAGTCTAAAGTGTTCGGTTCCTGTGGTGCTACAAGCTGGTTTGAGTATCTGATAGCTTCATCTGCCAAATTCTCTATTAAAGGGATTTAAATAAATGTAAAGACACACATTTTGGACAACGTCTCATTCCTCAATGAGACAAACAGGAAAGACGGTTTGGGTTGGGGGATTAGTACACCTGTGCTACATTAGGTTTATGCTTCACTTCATACCCTGAGGTTAGGTCCGTCGATTTTCTCATCTACATCCCGTATTTGGTTAACTGACTCATTTCACACGCCATTCTTAAAGAAATAAATCATACTTACCTATCCCAACTTAATTATCCTAAATCCTAAATTAAAACCATGGTGCAAAATCATTTTCAAAACCCTGTCACACCACTGTAGTCCTCATTCGCCGCTCATGCTCGGATGTCACAGTTATTTTGGAGGAAGACGTTTCCTTTTAGGTTTTGTTACCTTTTGTGTGAGTACAAGCCTTAATTCCACTCTTCCCAGTCCAAATGCAGCAATTATTCATCAGCTGAAGCTGCAGGAAACCAGGAAGGCCTATCAGGCACTCGGATAGAGGATAAAACATTTCATCTTGCTGGAAAAGAAAGAAAAACACAGAGGCGAGTTGCTCCTCTGCTCTCCAGAGAAGGTGTCTCCAGTGTAAAGGGACTGTGGTGATTTTACAGACATTATTGGCGAAGGCTCGCCCTGCCGCCGCCGGCGCTCATGTCTCTGCGGCAGGGCGGCTCCTGCTGGTCATTACGTTCCCATCCGCAGGCAGGCCACGCCGTCGCCCTCCTGGCTCAGCTCTCTGTTCCTGTCCGAAGCCTCCGGCTCCGGGGAGCCCAGCGTCCTGTGAGGGTGGGGGCTCCGCACCGACATGGAGGCCAGACTCAGGGTCCGAGACGGGTGAGGGGAGGGAGGGCGGTACCTACTGCTGCCGCCACTGCGGGGGTCTGGAGACAGGGACGGCGAGGACGAATCGTGTCTCCGATCTCCACTGGTCAGAGACTCCTCCTCCAAGGGGCTCTCGAGGTCAGACTCCGCCTCCTCTTCATCCTCCTCCTCCTCCTCCTCCTCCTCCAAGGTGAGTTCAAACTGGAATTTGTCTCCTCCCGATGAAGGGAAGGCTCCTCCTGACCCTGGAGTGCCAGCTGCGGGTCCCACCTCAGCGTGAGGCTCGTCCGGGCTCGTCGGCGAGGGGCTGCGGGGGATCATGCTCTGGTACCACTCCCTGTTGTCTTCAAGCGTGTCCAGAATGTCCTGGGCGTCGGGGTGCACCAGGTCAGCCCAGGTCTCCCACAGCGGGTGGACGATGTAGTCAATGAACCCCACCTGGGTGGGAAAATACAAAAACACTGAAGAGAAACCAGAACCAACCGATAAAGCTTGTGAAGACTGCGGAGGAAAACCAATGACTAAAGCTACGTTCACGTTGCAGCCTGTGGCAACGCTCACACTTCCAAATATATGGGATCTGAATGTGATCTCCAGTGTGAAGAGCGACGTGAAAGTGTCCCGCCTGTGCAGTAGAGGGCGCAGTAACGTCACACACAGAGAGCGTGCTCAGTGTTTTATCAGCTGCCATAAAAAGAAGAAGTGCTCGGTGTTTGCTGAAGTAAACATGGATGCTAACGGTGGACCATAGCTTACGATCCTGAAGTTGTTGTCCAACCAGAGCCAGAATATTAACAACTTAATCCTCTTTACAGTCCACCATGGTTGTTGTTATTCTTCCCGCTGTATCAGGATGCAGAACACTGACATTTGTTGAGAATCAGTGACGTTCAGGTAGGATGAATGCGACCTGAACGTTTGAATCGGATACGTGTCGGACATCCAAGTGGCCCGAGTCGCATTTGAAAAGAATCCGATCTGTGATACGGGTCGAATTACCTCAAAACAGTGAGTCATTGGGCTGTAGTGTGAACGCAGCCTAAGTTTGGACCATTTGTCTTGTAAAAACATGAACTTTTCCACAAGATGATGTGCAGACTTGACTTACTTGGCTCTTCTCTATGGAGGCGTTGTGTTTGTCGCACATAGGACTGATCTCCATCCCCTTATCCCGCTCTCGGTCTCCCTGGGTGAAGAACTCCACCATGATGCGGTCCGTCCATTTCCGATACAGCTCCAGTGGTTTGGTTGGGTTACTTAAGTCAGCACAGTGGACCATGTTCTGTAAAACCTGAAGCAAAAGAAACCCAAAAAACACTTCTGAGCCAGAAGATACGTCAATGAAACAAAAAATTTTCTCTAGTGTTTATGAGCCAAAATAATTGAAAGCACTTCATTCTACAACCAGATCCACTAAAGCACTAACCATAAGCATTAGTTCTGCTAATGCTAAAGTGCTACACCAACGTGATATTTATGGGAAGCTAATGCTAACACGCTAAATTCAACCAGCAGAAGATGAGGACGCTTTGAAAACAACTCATATATGTAGAGTTCATCATGTATTTGTGTAATTATCAGTCCTGGTTGTTCATTTAAGTGCTGTATTCTTCTTGTTTTTTGGTGCATACTTGCACACTTGTAAAGTTTAACTTGTTTAACTTGTAATGTTTTTTGTTGTATACTTGTAATTTTCTCAATAAATTTTGCAAGGAGAGGAAGTGGAACTGCAACATAAACAGTCTTCACCCACTTCAAAATAAAAGCATGAATATAACCATCTCACTACTTAAAGGATTCTTAAGTCTAACAAAAACTTCAACACAAATGTCAAACCAAGAGAATTAGTGGTTTAGAATTTATTTGGAAAAATTAATTTAGGGGGAAAAAATGTTTTCAAAGTTAGCAAACACGCTGAAGCGTTTCAATCCTTCACATCAGTGTTTCTTTTGAACAACAAACACGCACAATAATTCTAAAATAAAAATAAAATGTCCAAATTATTTCATATTATTTGGCACTTCATTACCTGGATGCGGTCAGAATAATTGTCTAGCAGCAGGACTCCCAAACTCGTCACTTTCTTGGTCTCCACCATCGTCTTCATGTCTGCCAAGAAGTTCATGTGTTTGGACATGTCTGTGGCCAGAACCTGCACAAAGCCAAGCAGCAGCACAACTCAAATCATCCCACACAGATGAAACCTGTTTAATCACTAAACATCAACCTTCATAAGGTACTAACACATGGAAAGTTGCTGTAGCTCCAAATGTTTGGCCTTTTTTGCAAAACCTACATGCAGTAATTACACAAAGAGATAAACTGAATCTATATGATTATTAGTTTGTTCAGTTAAGAAAAGCAGCAAGACATTTTTTCTGTTTCTGACATGGATTTGCTCCATCTAGCTTCTTCTGGGGAATAATTTTGATAAAAGTCTCAGGTTAAACTGTAAAAGTCGGATTAATGCGACATGACTGTTCTGACTGCAGATGATTTGAAAACTGTTCCAGATTTTGTCCCTCGTATGAAAGTGGCACAAATCTGATTTTTCAGAAGATCAGAATTAGGCCGTTCAGACTGCTTTTAAAAAGTCAAGTATGGGTCACATTTAGGCAAAAAAAAACTTTTTAATTTGGGTCGCATTTGCCTGCTGTGTAAACGAGAAATGAAGTTGAAAGTTAATAATTTATTAGGCTTTGGATCATCTTAAACGATTCTTAAAACTTATTTTTATTTGTTGGCATTAAATAGAGGCCTGATACTATAACTTTTCGGTTGTGATATTTTATTTTTATTTACTTATTATTATTATTATTATTATTATTATTATTATTATTATTATTATTATTATTTTCTCTTTTTATCAACTTATTCTATTGTGCTGTTGTTTTTGTGCAGCATTTTTGGGTAACACTTTATTTGAAGGGGGGTGAATAAGACTGACATGACACTGTCATAAACATGACATAACACCTGTCAGGAACATGAATAAGTCTTCATGAATATTTATGACTGTTGTCATAAAGCGTCATTCAGTAAATTATGACACTTTTAATACAAAGTTGACATTATTCAAAATGTCTTTGTTATGACAACTTGACATTAACCAGGAAATAATTACTGTTTAAACTTTACCTTTAATAACATAAAGTTACCTAATTTTTAAAGTGCAATCAATAATACTTTTATAACAAATTTATGTCAGTAATGATTTCCTGGTTAATGTCAAGTTGTCATAACAAAGACATTTTGAATAATGTCAACTTTGTATTAAAAGTGTCATAATTTACCGAATGACGCTTTATGACAACAGTCATAAACATTCATGAAGGCTTATTCATGTTCACGACAGGTGTTATGTCATGTTAATGACAGTGTCATGACAGTCTTATTCACTCCCTTCAAATAAAGTGTTACCGATTTTTGTGCAGTTTTAACCTGTTTTTAAAAGTGATATCTATATAAATTTTACATTGACATTGACAAACAGACTTTCTCCATTTTCATGTCATCATTTCATACTTTTCTAGAGTTAAATTTTAGAACATTTTTTTCATTTTTGAAAAACACGTTAATCCTAAATTTTTTGGCGTCAATGACCTCAAAAATGTTTGTCAAAATCTTTCATTTTGACAATGACTAATTCTTTCCTTCTGTTCTCATACTTATTTACACCTGGACATATTTAATGAAATTCCATACTTTCAAATAGTTTTCCAGAGTAGTAAGGACGAAAAGGAGTCCCAGCCTTACCATGTCAATCACCATCTTCCGGAGTGAGTCTTTCTGTTTCTTGCTGAGGTTCTGGAAGATGTCACAGTTCTCCTCTTGCAGCAGCTTGAAGCCGACGGCGAGGTGATGGTTCTCCAGCACAGACGAATCGTTGTACATTAGTGCCAATTCAGAACCTCAAAGAAGGAAGGAGGAAACTGTCACTATCCAACAACAACAGCACTTTAAACATCATTCTACAGAAAACTGGGACATATGCCAGATCCCATAGTAGCCTCTCTTTTGGTTTTGCTCAATAATGAAAGGTTTATGGTGGTTACAATTACATTAAATAAATTACTCCAGACTTAGTATAACTATTTTATTCTAATCATACTTAGTTTTTCTTTGAGTCGGAACCACCTAAACACCTATATAAACTACGCTCTTTGCTTGCTCTTACTGTTTGCTCTTAAAATACTTTTCATTTAAACACAAAGGTCTATTTTAAAGCTGCTGTATGAACATTTTGTATATAAAAAAAAACGTTTTTTACATATTTGTTAAAACTGTCACCATGTCATGACGGTTTGTTATGAGATAGATAATCTGTGAAAACATTAATTTCCTCCCTGTGCTCGTATTGCTATCTGAAAAAAATGCTCCTGACCAAAAACAACCAATCAGAACCAGGAGGAGTGTGTTAGCGCTGTTAATCAATCTCATAAATGCGCTGCTAAACGTGGTATTTGCAGAGAACCAGCTCAAATTTATGAATGTATACAGGATACATTACATCTGTTATCCCAGCTGAATGCAGAAACAGGAAGCAACATACTTGTGTTTATGAGGAACTGGTTGGTGACGCCTGGGTGGTCAACGTCATGGATGGCGCTTGCAAAAAGAGCGGCCATGATCTCTAGGTCTGTGAACACCGCCTTGGATGAAGAAAGATGTCGAACCAGGGTCACTTTAACGGTACCTCAACCCGAAAACGTAGTGGAAAGAGCGGGCCAAAAAAGAGAAACTACAGCGCTCACCTCTAAAGCAGGAGTGGACAGGAGGACATGGGTGGACTGCACCACATCAGCAGCATGGATGTTGTTGTGATAAGCTACGTCCGCATGGTAGTGGTCCTCTAAAGTCATCATGAAGGTGAGGAAGGTGTCAATTGGCACCTTGAAGGTTTTCAGGAGATCTCGCTCCTTTGAATGGAACAAGCAAATAAAACATCAACTGTCTGCATAAACTATCTTTTAATTAAGATAAGATCATCGTTTCAGATCAGAAATTTAAGCTGTCACAGCAAAAAGTGGACAGAACAAAATAAGAGTTAACAGAAATGAAAAACAGAATAAAAAGATGTAGTGTAGAAAAAATGTACACCTGCTAGTTTACAAGCTAAACTAGAGATAAAATTCTGAAAATATTTCTACATAGACATACACACAGTACATCTACGTTTACAAACATATACACGCAAACACACACGCACAGACATATGCATGTATATATACAACATATTAATACAGACATCAACAGAAACGTGGTAATTTGACTCAGCACCCATTTTTTGCATTTAAACTTAACATTTTCATTTTCCTTCCATTCTACTATTTGTGTAGGAAACTATTTCTTACAGCAGGATTTTCCTACCTGGAAGATGGAGTACATCATCACCGTCAGAGGGCGATTTCCTGAATATTCTGCTAGTTTGAAAATATCCATACCCCATCGATTAAGGTCCTCAATTTCCTGCGAAGAGCAAAAACATGCAAATTATGCAGAACATTTCTGTGTGTTTCTCTTGGGGTTTCAGTGTGTGATCTTACCTTTGCCAACATGTTTTCGTGCGGTGTGTTGACTCCAAAGCGAGGGATGCAAGCAGGCGCTAAGCTTGGGCTTTGTGTGGCCTTTTTCACACCGCTAATCTGTGACATCGGCCTTTTTTTCTTCTCCTTCTCCTTAGTAGGCGGAGACAGGATCTCCAAGTCATGTTGCTTCTCTGCATCATCAAAAAACACAGAAACAAAACAGACACAAAGTTAAGGCTAGATCCAAAAAATGAGCTTTGGAAACGTGTCTGCTCCCAGAACCATTTGCTCCAGGTGGCCAAGCAACCGACAGATTTGACAGGCAGAGCCACAGCGTCTTACTGCAGCTTCAGCAGCTCTAGGTTTGTTTTTAATTTTATTTAACCAACCTGCTCACCTTTTAAACTCATATCTACATTTAATCAGTCTCTGTGTTTGTTCAAAATCATAAAATGGCTATGATACATGCGGAAGAAAACAGCTTTTCATCAGTTTTCTCTAGAAGAAATCAGTTTCCCACCGAAATGAGACAATCCTCAGATGGATCCTGACCAGTGACAGTGACCTTTTTTTTCTGTACCACTGAGATATACAAGGCTTTTTAAAACAAAATTGATTCTTACATGTAAAGCTGAGAGAGAGAGTAATACTTTCAGGTGATAACAGGAAGGCCACTTTTGTATATAAAGGCAGAACATGCAAACTCAACACAGAAATGCCGCAGCATTGATTTAAACTCAAAACGTCCTGAGTTTTACGATGAAGCAGTGCATTGATGTCCCTCCAAAAACAAACCTTCTTTGGTGTGAATGCTGTTACTGAGAGAAGAATACGCAAAAGCAGCTACTTTCATAATCAAGGAGGTATAAAGTAGATATTAAAGCACTTAAAAGAAAACTGTATTATTAATTTAGGCGGCAAGAGAGCAGAGTTTTTAAGTGACAACAGGAAGGTTGCTCTGTTTTGTCTTTCTGAGCTTTCAGCTTGTTTCAGTCAAGGAACATGGTGGATATAAACCATGTTAACCTTAGTAGTAACATTAGTGATAATATAAGTGATAGTAGTCTGGTCAATTTTGAATAAAACATGCTAAAGATTAGATAGCTTAGAATGTCAACTAGTCTTCTTCTATTTTAAAATATTAAAACTGTATTTTGTGGTGTCTGTACTCTCACATATGCCACAACATCACCTCTACTCTTAATTTAGCTAATTAATTATAGCAGATAGGCTAAAATAAAAGGATCTTAGTTGTTCGAATTTAGTTCTTAAAAAGAAATAAGAATTAGATATAAAAATATGTTCATCAGACAAATATTTACAAAAACTAGAGAAAATTGACCACAGCATTCAGATTCTAGTTTTCATCTTTCAGAATATGTTTCTATGACGGATGTGCATGCATGTTGGCATCTTTTCAGCATAGCACAGAACAATGACCTTGTGAACAACTCGCGTTGCATCAGAGGCAAAATAAACGCTAACTTCAGGAGTGTAGAAAAGCTGGAGAAAATGTTGCATGTCCTGTTTCTGAGGACTGAGTCACAGAAAGCAGAAACATTGGTTGTTTTAATCCAAATTACAAAAAGCTTCTCATGTTTTCCAAAATGGAAAAGGACTCATAAAAAAAGTGGATTTTATAACAAAAAATCTGCATAAGGTCTTGTACCGACACAGCAGACATGATCTCCATACCATTAGATGAGAAAAGGTGCTGTCCCAACAGACACGCTCGCGTTAAAATGACTCATCCATTTTTGTACAAACCAAAAGCGATCCTCCTGCTTTGACTTCTTTACCTCACATTTGCGTGTTATCCTTTGTATCTTCCAGCTGTAATTGGTTTCATTAGCCTTGCAGCAGCGGCTGCCCGACACAGGCGCACACGCCAGCGTTCAGACGCATCACCAATCCTAACAACATCCTCACAGGAGGCACCGTCTGGCCTCTCTCACCTCTCTCACAGTGCCTCCTCTTCCTCACGCCCAGAGCCACAGGGTTCATCTCCAAACGCGGCCAGGCTTGAGGCTTTCATCTCACAACGGAGCCGGACTGATGGCTCCATCCTCGTTTGGCTGGACCATCCTGCCAGAGGCGCTGCCGAAGACTGAGCCTGCTATTGATGCAACACGCCGTCGGATAATACTCAACCTAGTTGCCACGACAACGCCACACAATGTGTCCGGGAATGCTGTCTGTTGCCGCACCTCCTCCTGCTTCAGAGACGGAAAAATCCTCACCTTCCCAATCTGTCCTCTCCTTCAGAAAAATGCTCTTTTCGACGCCTCATTTCGACAAAAATATTTGTTCCTTCTTCTTTATGTACATTTTGTTTCCCTTTCCAAGACCCTCTTTTTATTTTCTATAAATTTCCTCCTCTTTATCCATATTTAATTTTTCCCTTTTCTTTTTTTTATCATTTCAATATTTTATCCTTTTTTACTAATTTCTAAGCAGTTTTTTTTTCTAAATATGACTCAAGGCTTTTGCCTCCAAACACATCAAATAAAGCCCAAGAAAACACAACTCATTATATTCTGCAATGTTTTTTTATCTACCATATCATGTTGCACAACTCAGCAAATGTATATTGCACAAACAGTGCCTTGTGAAAGTATTCAGCTCTCATAAATGTTTCAGTTTATGTTGTCCTATTACATAAAATTTGAATAAAATACATTTAATTTACATGACAAAACACGGAAAAGGCTTTTAAGATGTTTGCAAAGGAAGCTATCCTGGACAATCAGCACAGTTGATAAAAATTATAATTTTTCTAAGATCTAATCAGCTAATAATCCTTTTATTAATTCATCATTCAAATTTAAGAAAAATGCATGCAGTTGTGTCTATTTTAAGGATGAGTTGCACCACAGATGCAGCACAATCACATTCTCATAATCTCCTCTCACAGATTTTAATATATTTGTCTCTGGTGTTAATAGCAGTCTACCAGCATTTTAATTTTGTGTCGGAATCACCTCTTCTTGACAAATAAAACACTCATTTGTCACTACAAAAATTACTAGTCGCCCATGTCTCTGAGCTCGATTTAGAACTCTGTTATCATGTGACAAACTTACCGAGGAAAGTGCTGGCGATGAACTCTGACACCTGGTTCCCTGAGCGACTCGTCTCTGACAGCTGCGTCAGCTCACGGTTCAGCATCCTCTTAAACTGTTAAAAACAAAAAAATTAAAAAACACATTATTGACTAAAACTAGTACATAAATTGACCAAATATGGTAAAATTTGCTAGCCCGCTAACATTAGCTAACAAGCTATGGTTAGGATGTTGACTAGTAGCTTCTACAAGCAAGTTATCTAATTTTAATCTACCGTACTTCACCTGCAAAGCTAAAATGAGAAAAAAATGCTGATGATAGCATGTTGGCTAACACTAGTAAATTATCGAACATCATCTTACTTCATATGCTATGCCAAAGGAGCTAATGTGTTATTGTTACCATGTTAGCTAACATTACCTAAAATTAATTTTAATATACTGCTGGCTAATATGCTGTGATTAGGAATGTTGTAATTCCTTAAGTTACATCATTAGCTTTTAAGAATCCCCACGGATTTTTTTACAGGTGAAACATTTTTATTGGCAATAATGTCTGAATGATTTTTTTTCTTCAATAGTTTCTGTGGCAGGAACTCAGGTACCTGTGGTAAATTTGGTGACACAACAAACAATAATATAAATCATTTATTTAATATCTTCATCAGCCAAAGTCGTTTACAATAAGCAGGATGTGACTGCTTATTGTCACATTCTGACAATAAGAATGGGCAAAATCAATCTGTACAGTCATACTCATTATAATATACATCTTTTGAAAATAACTTTTAGCCAGGTATTAAACATACTTTTTACAAATCCCACATTCTGATTCTAAAAGTGGCTTTTTTATTGTTCTGATGTAATATTGTAACTTTAAATGTCGTATTTTTATTAGCTTTAAGTGAAAAACATCCATCTGTGATAAAGTTCCTAAAATAGCTGAACTTTTCAATAATATTCAGATTTATTGAATGAGTTTGAAAGCAATATGCCCCAAATCATAATGCTGAATGCAATGCAGATATTTGCAGCATTTGTAGTTGAAAGGATATGAATGTTTTTCCTTTGAATTAAGGTTTTTAAAGAGCTTTTCTGAGTCTGATTATGTTTATCATGCAGAAACAATCATTTATTACCTTTTCATTACTGTAGTCACTGTATATTTTAAACATTCTGCTCTGTATTCAGTTACAACGCAAAAGAAGAAGAAGTTAAACGGTGATGTTGTTCCTGCCAGGAAGTTTTTTGGGAAGCAGTAATGTTCAGTGTGTCTTCATGAATTTATCTCCGTGGCGATGTCCACACTGATTATGTAACGGCTTCAGCACGTGGTGACTGAGGGAGGAGGCAAACGGTCGGGATGCTGAGGCGAGTGACACAAATACGGGTGTGTCCAAAAACGTCCTAAAGGTGACAGACCTATATTACTTCCTCTGCCGTGACTTTTCCTGAACTTACAAGCACAAAAACACAGAATCTATTGCATGCAACATGCTCATTAGGAATACTTATTCAGCTTTCCACAATGCATCTGCATCAGCCTGTTTGTAGGTCCAGTTCTGAAAAGATCTGACAGCCTCACTCAACATTATGTCTAAGATCCCCCCTCAGCCTCACCTCTGCAAAGCCTGAACCACTTCCCTGTCACTCACCTGTCTGAGTCTCCAGCACAGACAAACCCAAACTGCCAGCAGAAGCATGTCAGCCAACGCATGCTGCGCTCAGTTGCAGTACAAATCCGAGTTTTTCCTGTTACCAATCAACTGTTACCAAGCAATGTAAATAAGATTTTATGATGTAGAAAATATGGCAAATGTCCTGCAGCATGGAGTGCCTGATGGTAAAAAAGGAATCCATATACAAGTCCTATTTGCCACAGTCCCGGCGCTGATCAGGTTGGGGCATACAGGGATGGGATGGAGAGATCTCCAGCATCAGGAGCGATAGGGAGGGTGTTGACTGCAGCGTCCTATCCAGCTACGGCTGCACACTGTCAATGAGAAAGAGGGACGAAGGGAGTTTCTGCGAGGAACTCTCCTCTCAGTCCTGCATGCAGCATCCAGCCCCCTGCCTCCCTCCGACCAATCATATTCGACTGGCTTCAGAGGCTGGGTGGAAAGCTGAGAGCTGATTTGGCCGACGGTGTGACAGAGAAACCACACAGAGCGGAGAAACAGAAAGGAGTGATGCTAATTGACTCTTCTAGAGGGGGGATGTGATAAAACCCTGGTGTGTCTTTTCATAATACATACTTTGTTCATATGGGGTCTTAATGTCACCTTTTTAAGCAATATTAATAAGATTTTATGCTGCAGAAAATATGACAAATTAATTCTTTAAAGCTGCAGGAGGTAACTTTTATTTAAATACATTTTTCACATACAGTTCTGGAAAAATTGAGAGCCCACTGCACTGAACCCCATTGAAAACCTTCTGGTTTTTCCACCAAATATTGATTTCTGAAATCTTCCTGAGTTAAAACATTAGTATTATTGTTTCCAAATGAATATGGACTTGTTTTCTTTGCATTATTTGAGCTCTGAAAGCACTGCATCTTTTTTGTTATTTTGACCATTTCTAATTTATTGCAAATGAATACAAAATTTTTGCTTGTAATTTCGCAGACATGTTGTCAGTAGTTCATAGAATAAAAGGACAATGTTCAATTTACTCAAACATATACATATAAAAGTTAAATCAGAGAAACTGATCATTTTAAGTGGTCTCTTAATTTTTTCCAAACTGACACTGCCATGACAGCACAGTATGAAAGATGTCTGCTCCCAGTGCTTCCAGTTTTAACTAGAAACAACCAATAAGAGCAAGGAGGCGGGTCTTATTGCTGTCAATCAATATTGCAGTTTTCCTGGAATTGTAGGTTATTTCTCAGCTATTAGCACATTTAGCAGCATGTGCACAAGTTTGATTGACAGCACTAAGACCCTCCTCTTGGCTCTGATTAGTTGTTGTGGTTTGGGAACCGTGCATTTCTGCAGACAACATTATTAGCTCAGGCAGGAGATGGAGGAGCTTGATTTTTTCATCTATTATTTGTCTCATACTGTCACAAAATGGTGACAGTATGAGACAAATAAGTAAAAAACATATTTTTTTAAAAATAAAAGTTGCATACTGCAGCTATAAGGACAAATCATGCTTTTAAAAACCTGATGAATATAACATTAATGAGCCAAACAGCGCATAAGCAGATCCTGTAAGATGTTTAGGAACAGCTGTAGCTGCGTTGTGCTGCGTGGCGGCGAACAGGAAGTCCATTTACCTTATTGGACGCCATTTCGCTGACTGAGTGTCTCGTCTGCAGCGTCTCCAGCTGGTCCAGACACCAGTCCAGCTCTTCCAGAGTCTCCATCGTGAGCTTCTGATAGGGCTCTTCTGAAAGGTCAAGAAAAACACGTGTTTCAAGAAAAAGGTGGGCAGAGGAAGATTTACCTCCTGAATGAAACGAGTTCCAGTTTCAATGATTATCAGGATATAATTTCCAACTTTATAACAAAAATTTAATTAAAACTTCTCTTTTGAATAATCCACCGATTGTTTATCTCAGAAAGGGAAAACACAAAATTTATCTTGAACCTGTCCCAAGTTTAATTCAATAAACTCATTGCAAATGTCTAAAAAAAAAAAAGCTTAAATTGTTTTCTCAATTGTTGACTTTATGGTGTCTTTTATGAATTTCTATTTTTTGCTTTTATGATGCAAAGCACTTTGAACTGACTTCTTACTGAAATGTGCTATACAAATAAATTTAATCGATTGATTACACTTTTTTTTTTTAGAAATGTTTTAATCGTTACCTTTATTTTTACAGAAAAACATTCGAAAACATAAACAATAAAACAGAAAACATTAAATGTAAGATGTGAAAGTCAATATGTATCACATGTTTTGCTCAGATTTTAATTTGGGCAAAAAATAACATACAACTTTGTGCATCAGTAGTGAAATAATACATTTTATAACATTTTTGAGCCACAAAACTTAAAAGTAAAGAAAACATGAAACACAGAAAAGTCCCAATCAACGTTTCCATTGTTTTTAAAACAGGTAAGACATTTTAAATGGCAATTTTCTCAAACAAAACTAGAATTAAGATTCATCCAAACTAAAATCATCTAAAGATCTTTTGAACTTGGAATATGCCATCAAGACAAGAGACTGTATTTATGTAAGCTTTTGACTAGAGTTATTAGGAAGATTGTTTGATAAAAATTAGTGAAAGTTATTTTTAAATTATCATTCCCATTCTTTAAAAATATAATCAAAAATTATAAATTCTGCCAGGGTATGCAAACTTAAGAGCTACAAGCCTAAACACAGTTGAAAAGAGAAAGTTGTAATAAAACCAAAATACTTATATCTTCATAGACCCCCATCATGAACTGACCTGAGAGACACGGTTTGCACAGCGGCGGCTGACTGGCACTCGATGGTCGTCTGGAGCAGGAAACAGGTCAAGTTTTGGTCAAATTAACAAAACCCTCCAGTAGTTTGTCGTTCGGACCTTAATTCTGCTCTTACTTGTTCACCACACGATCTTGGAGATGTGTCAGAGCAGCAACGTTACTTCTTACAGTTCGCAGACTGGCCAGAACCTGCAGAAAGCAAAGAAAGCTTCTTAAAGGAATGTTACGCGATTTTTTAAAGACGTGATACAACCACAAGTTATCAGTTAACAGCTTATCAGCTTATCAGAGCAGAAACAAATTTTTCTCCAAACTTTTGCAGTTGTTTGTGCAAATGTGATCGTATGATACTTTAAATTAATTAGTTTGTGCTGGAAGATTATTTAAAAAGAAATTTATAGATATTTTGCTGGAAATTGCAATAGATAACAGTTCTTAGAGGACGAACAAACATATATGGGAAAATTAGTTATCATAACTTCTCAGTGTTTAGCCTTTTTCTGCACAAATTTACTTTTCCAAACTCACTTTTGTGCACTTGTCCTCTTAATTTGGCAAATGTTTCAAAACAGTTTTACTCTATTAATATTGATTGCATGCGTCATGCATCCCCACAGGACAATGATGCCTCCACCATTTTTTTTTTACTTTTTTTTCTCCTATATTGCTATTCTTTCAGCCAGCTAACCTGCAGTGCAAATAAAGAGGTGGGGTAGGGGCAAGGGTGCATTATTCTGCTGGAGAAAACTCTGAACATCCTGCTATTTTCTCTGAATATGTTAAATTGTAGGAACAGTGAATAAAAGGTGTAGAAGTTTTGATATCTTAGCTTGATGTTAGCAACCGGCTCTTCTCTATTTAGATTTATCAGACATTATCTTTAGGATTTAAATATCGCTAGTATTTTTACAGACAAATCATCTAATCTGAATCCTCCAAATGTCAAAAAGGAAATTGGTTTTAACATATTAAACAACAAATGCACAACTCAATGTAGATTTTGGGTCTAAAGCTGCAAAAATCACCTTCAAACTCAACATAAATGAGTGTGTAGATGTTTATAGGGGAAAGAAAAAATGCATTTTGTGTTTCCTGCAGGTGAACCCAGAGTAAATTAATGGAAAATCCCTTGTACACAGAATGCTCAGGAGATAGTCAGAACAAGCTGTGCAGTACAAAGAGAATGTGTGTGGGTGTTTTCTGTGAAAAATGAACCATCTCTTATTTCTCAGACTGATGAGTAACCTCCAACATCACGTCGATTATATGGACAGAATTACAACCTTTTTCCAATATGAATTTAAATAAAACTGCTAAATAATTTTCAATTACCTCAGAAACACAGTTCAGCAGAAAATGGCACAATAAGCATTAAACATTTTTCTTAGCCATGTAGATTTTATTGTGTTATGAGAACACAATAAAATCTAAACATAATTAACCTAAAAGTTTCCTAATATTTGATGCTTTGTTGTGCATACAATGTCGGTAAAACAGTCCCTCAAATTTTTAATTGGTAAAATTTCAAGCAAAAATTGTATAAATAAATAAATAAATAAATAAATAAAAAGGATTTAAGTGACTGCTACCTCCCACCTGCAGGTGGCAGTATTTCTAACTTTAGCTAAACTGCTGCCTTATCCCCGCTTTATGTCAAGTTATACTTGACCTAAGTATACCAAGTTATACTCTGATCGATACGGAGAGTAATGAAACGCCACATTATTGACATAAATAAGTGGATTATATCCATGTCTGCAGATATCAAGCTAATTAAGATCATTAAGTACTATTTAATCTGTTTGCTTGTTATTTTTTTCTCAACTTTTTTGCTCCATTGTGAAAATTTTGGAAGGTATTCAATGAGGAAAAAATATATAGCACCACATGACCAGTGATTATGGTGGCAAAAACTCCTAAAGGGACTCGTAAATAACGCTTTTCTGGTTCCACTAAAAGCTTAACTGACACATCTATCAATAATCGTCTTTTCTAGAGTTGATTAATGTTAGATGTCCTACATTTCTTGATCAAATACGATGAAAATCAACTTTAAATGATAAGTAATAATGGGACTAACCTGTGCAAATGGAGTCACTATCATGTCTTCTCCATGCCTGAAACATCACACACAAACATCTGGTAAAAAGGTCATGTAAAACGAAAACCATACGAACCAAAATTCTCAAAGACAAATAGACAAATAGACAGTACATGAGGATATTGGAGGAAAGTTGCGGTTTGCTGAAAACATGTTTGCTCTGAGCTAAACACTGGGTAAAGGGAAAGGTATTATTTACATAAATGCAGTTCATCTCAACAGCTGGTGAAGCTTTAAAGGGGATGAAGTCCTAAAATTACCTTGACTAAATGTCTGGATATGTGTCAGTGAAAATCCAGAGTCTGACCTGTGTTTCTTTCAGCTCAAAAAACACACAAGGCCTCGGAAACAGGTTTGTATTTAGAACAGAGAGCAGGCGAGGAGCAGTGTTCATGCTCTGAGTGCTGTGTGAAAAGGTGCCACAGCATGCACCGTAAAGGGAAAGTTCTGGCATTTTCTGAAGCAGGGCTTTCAGGTAATGGATAAAAAATATCTTCCCTGCAGTTCCTACGCGACTTTGCTCTCATGAAAATACTAAATACAATCTGCAGAAGCAAAAGTGTCTGATGCACAACTTCTCCTAAAAGTCTTCACACCCTTTGGATTTGTTCACATCTTGTTCCGATGCGACCAGAAGCTACGGTATGTTTTATTCTGATTTTATGCGACAGTGCATAACTGTGAAAAGCAACAAAAATACAGAATTTATTTTTTACTCTCGTACCCCTAAAGAAAATCCAGAGGAACAGATTCTCTTTAGCAGTAACCTGATTCAAATAGTAGCTTTAAGTTAAATAAATGCCTTGATAAAGTAATTTATGTGCCAAATATTCCACCCAAAAGAATAAAAATAACTTTCCCGACTGATTTTATTGTGAAGTGTAACAATGTGTAATATATGTTTGTCATTTTCATTTAAGATCACCACTGAAACAAAAAAAAAATGTATGGTTTAATAAAAGAACATAAAATAGATTAAAAAAAATACTAAATGCAAAATATAGAAAAAAAAATTAACAAAATGTGACAGTGAATAGAGAAATCATATCAAATATGAAAAAATAACATTTAAAAAACTATTAAAACTATAAGATTGGAAATAAAATGGAATATTAAATAACAGTGATATTGTTAAATTAACACTGTTGATAAACAATATTAATTCATGTTTCACTGTATAATCAAACAAGATGAAGAAGTCGTTTTTGATGCAACTACTGACATTTTAATTGCTTCATAAGGTAATTCATTTATTTATATTACTACTATATTTTACTGTCAGTTTTGGCAAGATCCAGCTTCCATACAGAACTGGTGAACAAAAGATTTGCAGCTGAAATTGCAGTGAAATTTCAGCTTGGCCAAATAACTCTCAAAGTTAATTCTGGTTAACTCTGATATAAATCTCAAATTAGCAAATAGGTGACTTCTGAGGTGAGAAATAAAAACTGAAATAAAATCTATAATTTTATTACCATTTCACAGTTGTGCACTACTTTGTGTTTGGTTGCATTGCACCAACTTTAGAGTCTTTAGGAAAGCTGTGTCTTCTCTGCAGGTGAGATATTTACTTTTTTTTAACAGAACTCTACTTCAAAGAGTTGAACTTTCCCTTTAAGCACCTTCATACATCATGCTGCTGGGAAAATTAAGCCAATCTGTGCATCACTTTTTAGCAAACATTCCTGAAATCAGTGCCAAATTCATTCTCCAAACGGAAAATGAAATATGGGTGATTTCATTTCTGTTGAATGCTTGCTAGGACTTCAAGGAGGTGTGGCAGCAGAAGGATCAGGGTACATGAGGAAGCCCAAAGGGGACAGACAGGAAAGCAAAAACACAGGAATCTTCACACATTGTCTCACCGAGGTAGCCAATTAACTTCCCAATGCTTCAATCCTTCCTCCCTTCAAAACAAAGGAGCAACAGCTATTGGTGGTCGGGACCCTATTCATACAGTGAGCAGCTCTAAACAAACTTTAGCTGCACAGAGAAATCTTTGTGTGAACAAATGAACATAAACTAAGCACAAAACTTTAATCTGCTGGAAGTTGAATCTTCAGTTGTGTTCCTAAAAAATGCAAAATAAAACCTAAAAGCAAAACATTTAAATGAGACTAAAATGTAGAGATGCAGGTTTGATGAAAGCTTTTAATAAAGTCTGATTTGCAGATTCAGTTTTTAGCATAAAAACTTTCCTGCAGGTTCATATTCAGCTCTGGAAAAAACAAAGAGCCCACTGCACTGAAGCCCATTGAAAACCTCCTGGCTATTCCACCAAATATTGATTTCTGAGTGAAAACATTCGTATTGTTGTTTCTAAATTACAACATTTTTGCTTGGAATTTCAGAGACATGTCAGTAGTTCATAGAATAAAAGAACAATGTTCATTTTACTCAAACATAAACCTATAAAAAGTAAAATAAGAGAAAATTATCATTTTAAGTGTCTCTTAATTTTTTCCAGAGCTGTATGTAGAAACTGACACTGTATCATGACAGGACAGTATGAGAGCAATAAACTCCTCTGTCTTCTCCCAATTCTAACTGGAAACAACCAATCAGAGCCAGGAGGCGGGTCTTATTGCTGTCAATCAGGCTTTTGTACACAACACTGTGGCAACATTGCAGCTTCTTCCTGTCTGCCAGGAATGCTCAGGCTAATAAGCATAATCACTGGTGATGGCGGATAAACAGTTTTCCTGGAACTGTAGGTTATTTTTCAGCTATTAGCACATTTAGCAGCGCATACATGAGTTTGATTGACTCCGCTAAGACCCTCTTCCTGGCTATGATTGGTTGTTTTTGGTTGGGAACTGTGCATTTCTGCAGACGGCAGATAATTTTTAGTGGTCTCTTAGTTTTTCAGAGAGTTGTATATAGTTTGGTATCCAGCAGAAAAGGAAGAGTAACATAAAACTTTGGTCCTGTTTCGGTTTTTATTCAAATTCAAAAAAGTGGTTGACATTTTCACAGAACCAAAAAAAAGATATTTCAGTATTTGACCTCATAGTCCTCAATCATATCTGACTGACTGATCAGTTCATCTCGACTTAAATGATCTATAAATACCGTAGTAACGCTGATGCTGCCCATTTGAACCTAACGGATATTAACTGATTTATAAATGTGTTATAATTAGGATTAGTGATGTGTCCAGAACTACATGAAGCCTCTGAAGACCAATTAGTTTGTTTTTTTTCTTATTCTTGAGATTACTGTTTTCAAAAGACTCAACTAAAGGTGTCTTATTAATTTGTCGTACATCCTCTTTTAGGCCTTTATGACGACAAACTAAAGGAAAATAAGACATAGCCAGTTTAAATAAAGCACAGTTAGAATAACGCAGCATGTTTATTTATTTACTTACAGATCGCTGGCAGTGGACGAGTTGCGAGACATAGTTTTGGGCGACAGGTCGAAGTCTGAGTCGGAGCGGTAGAGGAAAGACTCCCGGCGCTGACTGTGAGGGAAGTTGCCCTGAAGTACCAGACCGGATCCCGGGCTCGTCTGAGAGTCCAGTGGACTGCGACCCACCGACAGGCCATTCTCCACATCAAAACTGCAAAAGGAGAACAAAATACCCAACAAGAGTTACAACACAGTCTGATTTTTCATGGATTTTTAAAAATTTTAACAAAATTATGCCAAGTTAAACTTCATATTGGGTCAAGATTGCACCCATTTGGATAAATGTGTGGAAATGCTGAAAATCTACAAGTGAACTTTCAGCTGAAAAGATTAAAGTCAGACATGGAGAAATAATGGAAATAAATTATAGGTTTCCTTACTGATTAGAAAACTCAAACCTTCAATTTCCAACTATAACAAGTTAATAAAGTGGAAAAGTTTAAACAATAAAAAGGTCATGTGGTGTGAATATTATTGTTGATTACTTTGGTAAATTTGCAGAAAATCAGTAAATCAAACTATTTACTGTTTTAAAACAACTTATCCAACACTGTAAAACATTTGAGCTTCATTTAGTTGTGTTTACTATCTTCTACTGTTTAAGTCAAATAAATTTAGCCAGTTTTAGATTTTGAACCTAAATGTGAGTTTGTGAAAGATAAAGTTACAGTAATAAGTTGTTTTAACTTTTTATAAATTTTGTCAGACCTCTGAAAGTTGAATAAACTAGAGATTTTAGGTCAGCACTTCAAAAAACTGAGAGAAGAAAAAGACAGGAGTGGGAACTATTTCCCAGAATGCTTTGCGGTTTGTTTTTGTATCCTGAGGTGGAAGTGCGTTACATTGATCTGAGTGTTGTGTTATTAAGGAAAATGTTTATTTTTATGTCCTGTTCACACTAAATGTCCATTAATTCATTATCAGATCAGAAATTTAGTTCATGCAACTTGAAGCAAGAATTTAAATTATTCTAAAGTAAAATAAGTAGATATTTTTATAATTGTGTTATTGTTATTGTGAGTAAAATAACAGAAATAGCTCTTTAACTGGTGAGGGCTTTTTTTTTCTTCCATATTGTGAAATTATTATTTGGTTTAAATTGCAGCATTAAGTTAAAACTCACAATTCAAGATTAATGAAGTTAAAAAACAATGTTTAGACAACTTGTCTCTTGCTGTTAGATCGACTTCATGAACTTTAATTTCTGAGTTAAAACCAAAGCAATTTTCTTGTCGACTTAAATTGTATTTCCAAGGCAGCAGGTGGAGTTTCATGTTCAAGTTAAACCACCTTCAGATGTTTTACAGTGTATTAGCACAGTTTTGAGGCCCAGATATGCATCTACAATTGCATGAACTGACACAAATGCATTGGGAGCACAACCCGACAGAAATGGAGAATGAAGTTCAAGAACCAAAAGTGAACTTGTGAAAAATGCAGAACGGGTCACCTTGTGATCGCTGGCTGTTCGTAATCAAACATACACATACGCACATCTTTCTGTCTGCTAACTCCGTGTTGACGTCAACACCGGCGCGTTACATCAGCACATTATGACCCAAAAACCCCGGCACCAATGATAACAGCTCCAGCACGGGTCAATGAAGGTTAGGAGAAGAACATCAGAGTTTAGCAACCAGATTTCAAAGGTAGGATCAGAAATAAATCTCTACTCTGCATCTTTAATTGGGTCTGGTGCTTCCAATCAAACACTACCACATCTTCTTTGGACTGACTAAAGACAAAAATAGGTTCTTCTGATCAGGATTTAGAATCTGAACAGCCGTGTTCAGCTGCTCTCCTCCCTTCCCTGGTCATATCAATAGAAACCAGAGCACTGAGGTTGCCTCTCTGGCTATTTTTAGCCCTGCCTGCAGGGCTTCACCAGTAATAGTTCACATAAATGAAGGAGTGCTATTATGCAACTCACTGTGAATGGACCCAGTCCAATTCACAGAAGCAGATAGAGATGGAGAGACGAGGAGGAGTAGCTGTGAAGGCTGCATCCAGCACACTGATGCGTTTAGCATCTCGCAGCGGATTGGTGCGGCGAGGCAGAGAGAGGCGGGGCTTCAGCAGCAGGGTTTACCTCAATGACAGCACCTCCACCCAGCAGCGGCACCCCGCTTCCCCCTCCCTTGGATCTGTGTAGCGGGCCGTGACAGGCTATATCAGAGGAGCCCAGTGACGTCAGAGGCTAAAAATAGATCTACCTGACAGTAAGGAGGTGAACTGGGAGACTAGTGGGGATGCTTACGTAGATACGCCCCCTCCCCTCACTCTGCAGGCAGCTGAGATGATTTCTCCTTCAAAGCCATGTTTACGAGAAAATCTATTTTTAAATCCTACAAGGTAACTCCGAGGAAAAGATCACCTCCCGACATCTTTACAGTATATTCCCTATTTTTCCCCTTTCATTCATCTCCTTTATACAGCTTCTCTTAGCCACTCTTAATTAAATGAAGTGCAGCATACTTAGTTGTTGATGCATGAATTTTGCAAGAAAAAGGTAATCCGGAAATAAATATTAGAACTGCAGAAGAGGATTTGGGATTCTGATTTCAATCATGAGAAATAAATAAACAGACGCATTATGATTAAACATGCATGCATGCATACACAGTCACAAAAGCAGATTCATAAATAAATACAGCATTTCTTAATAAACTTGGAGAAAGATAAACATTATTTAACACAATTTTTTAGTTGTATAACTTGTTTAAATTATGGTTAAATACATTTTTAAAATGATTTCTTCCACAATATTTTGTGTTTTAATCCTTGCACTCATAATAAAACTGTAAAATTACAAAACATAAAACACTGCATATTTTCAATAGAAGGAGAATTGGAATCAACATCTGCCTTCAGGTTTTTATTTGCCATTTATTTCAGCAAAATCCAGACCTAAAACTGATTTTTAAGACAATTATATGATGAATTAATGTGCTGGTCTTTTGTTAACATGTCACATTTAGCTGTAGTAAGAAATTCAGGATTTTCTTTCAGCTATAAAATGTCCAGAATGAATTTATCAGTCACGATGAAGAGCAAAGCAGCGCCTCAACAGCCTTTTGACAGGAGCACAGCGCCCACTAGTGAATAATATGAGGAACTGCAACAGCTGGCACTGAGTCGTTTCCACTCGCAAACTTTTCTGTCAGCTTTTGTCAACCAATAAGAGACAACAGGAGATTTGATGGGGGAAACATTTAAATGTCTGGATCTTTATATCTTCTTTTAGATTATATTTCTGACTTCTTGTCAACACTGAAAGCATACAGACCGACAGGAAGGCCGTTTCGTTTAAAACATGCGTGAACATTTGACCTCGGCCGTCTCCTGCCTTCTGCATTGTTCTCCATTTCTCTGACGTACTTTACAGCTTTTTTCTCGCACGCTTTAAGTCTATTTTACTAAACTTTCCTCTCCCATAAACAAAGAGTTGCCCGAACACCCACATCCTCACCTCCCCGTTTTGTTCACAGGATGTTTAGTTTACAGCCTGAGGAGGAATTATTCTCCAGAAAAGCTAATCGAAAAAGTTGTTTGAATCTGTTTTTATTCACTTTATATCAAATTTCTTTCCTGCGTTAGGGTTGTCTATCGTGATAAGATGTTTGATTAATTTACACGCAAACAAAAATCACTAAAAAACCAACAAAGAATCAGAGTGGTTCCATTAAAATTAAACAGCTTTTCAAAAGGATTTGTCTGTTTCTAATTGTTGCAAGCACAAACTTTACAAAGATCTCCTTCTCAACATTTTTAAAAAATAAAAATCTGAAGGTGCAGCCAGTCTTGGCATTAATCTAGATCAGTGGTTCTTAACCTGGGTTGGATCGAACCCCAGGGGTTCGACGGAGCCTCTGCCGCGAAGGTAAAGACACCTGTGTAAAGTTGTGATGACGCTGCAGAGGATCACGTTACATTGCTGAGCCAATCAGAGCTGTGGGAAGGAGTTCCACTCTCAGCATGGATTTGAACTTGTGTCTTTAATTACTTCAGCAAAACTCACCATTTTTACCAAATTCTGTACCTTTCGGTGTACTTCTAAATCTGCTCCTTAGTCGCATCTTTTCGGGCCTGCTACTGCCTCTAGTGGCGTGGGGGTGGTAACACAACTAATATAATTACATTACTAATTAATTATATTAGTAATGTAATTATATTACATTACTAAATCAGAATACCGCAAAGTTTTTATTATTTATTATTAATTTTTCATTCTCTTAAGAATGTAGAGCTAATTAAATGATCTAAACAAGGCATTAAAGTGGTTCCAGTTTCTCTCGATGGCCAACCTGTTGAAACTGTGGTAACTGTGGTACATTTGGGTCGTCCCTGGACAGTCAGCTCAACTTTGCTGAAAACACTGAGTATATTTTGAAGAACTGTTCTCAGAGACTCTACCTTTTAAGAAGACTTAGTGATCATGGGGTGACCAAGAAAATAATTTTATTTGTCACAAAAGAAGGGTTCGGTGAACGCGCATATGAATCTGATGGGCTCGGTACCTCAAAAAAGGTTAAGAACCACTGATCTAGATGTTTTTGTTTCCACCACATCTGGTTTTCTAGGAAGAAAACCAGATGTGAAAACTAATGAAAACTAAGTCAAGCTTGATCACAAAGGACAGTGAACCTCTGGTGCATAAACTCACTGCAAGATCTCAAATGGACGTAAATCTGGACTTTGACTAGGCCATTTTCCAGCAAGATATAGGATGATTAACAAAAACATCTATCTATTAAAACTAAACCATCTCATATTTTGAGCTGTTTCTTGTTAAACTAGTGCGAGTCACAATCTTCCAACTTGAGTCATCTTCTTTATTTAGGATCTCTGTTTTCAAAGCTTAATTTCAACTTGAAAAGATGTCAAAAGGGAAACTCTCCATCGACTCCAGTTGCTGTCCAGCCTTGTGTGTTTGTGAAGAGGCTCCTGGGAGTCGCAGCTCAGGGATTTAAGAAACTTTCATCTATATATGTGAAGAATGATCCAGAAAATGACCATCGAGGCCAGAGGGGCTTTATTTATGGGGAGATGACACAGACAGAGGGACAAAGGTCAAAACTCACACACACATACTCTTCCTCCTGTGTCTTTTCTTTCCTCAGAGCGTGGGAATCGGCTGAAGGAGCCCAAAAC